AAATGAAAGACATGACAATAAGAATATACTGCGTAACTTCTTTTAATCGGGCCTCTCTTCTACTAACACCAAGGTATTCTTTCAATTCTTCATTATTAGTCTCAGCTTCAGTGCCTTATTTAGCACATGGTAATTAGTGCATCTTTCTGACAAATGTATGAGACTTAAAATACAATTTTGTAAATAAATAAAAAAATCCAGAAGGCCCTATTTCATCAGAACATATAAAAGTTTCGTTGATCGACTCACAGTTAACCCAAAAGTAACTTCTCCTTTGCCGGCATCTCTGGCATCAACAGTAAATGCGGCAGGTAGGCTGGCTAGGATGGGCCCTTTAACGCCTTCGCCTGTCACCATCACTCTTTCCGGCTCGCTGGCCGGTCGTACAAGCACACTGTATATACACTCAGAATCAGTTCTTTTGGAAATGACGTCTCCAATGTCTTCTGGCTCGCGAGTCTGAAGCCCCTCATCTTGACCTCCACTAGCAGGCAAGCTGATTGGCTTTCCATTAAACTCGACAGCCACTTGACAGAGGCCAGGCGATTCGGCTGTGTAGGAGACTTCATAGAGGCCCGGTGGTAGCAAATCACCTGACCGATAGGTTGGCTGAGGACCAGTGCCTTGCTGTATCGCCCGTATCCGACAAGGACTAGGTTCGGCATCTGGTTTCGGAGTGAATGTGGCCTACAAAAGAGTCATAAAAGCCAAACGGTTATATTCTAATTCTCGAGATCATCCTATGCATGGATATAGAGGTGGCTAAAAAAGCAATGAGTAATAACAAATAATAATGAGTACGCATCGTCATGAATAAAGTAGAGGCAGCAGGACAAATCCATTGAGATGGATGTAAAGGTGAGAAGTTTGTAGTCATTATACTACTGAGTAAACTAAGCTCTCAAGAAGGGGATGATTCATGTAAATAAAATAAATAAATGGTGATGTTCATGCAAAATAAGATATTAAAAAAGTAAGAGTTGTAGGTCTTGGATCGCAAAAAGGACGCAGTAGGATATAGGCAGCCACTCAAGGCAGTACAGTTCCAGTGCAATCCACTCAGAGGATGTTAATCAACGATCAGGAAGCTGACCTAAGTAGTCATCCAAAATGGGCATACATATAAAGCGATTGATAAAGTGGAAAGACAGCTTGTAATGCCTGAATACGCTTGCAATTTACAAATGGGAAACAACTAGTAATGGCTTTGCCTCCTTTAAAAAACAGTAATGAATAATTTAGCAACCCAAAGAATTATCTGTGAGCAAAGTACTGTAAAGAACTGCGTTTAAAGGGTCAAATTATACTTAGCCCAAGATTGCCTTTGAGACAATATACGTGAATAAGGCGCTCGCCCCAATAACGTTTGTACAATTATTGGTGCTTGATAGAATAACAACTGAGCAAATAATTTTACAGTTTGGTTGTATTTCATTAATACAATGAGCGATCAATTATCTAAAATGATCGGAACTTGATATTATAGATAATTTATCATTAAGAAATGCTGGGTGAGATGAAAATAAAAACATTTTAAATAATAAAAGCTTTTTTATTAAATTTGCGATATTAATTGTTCGTTATATATTTCTTTGAGTCTGAAACCGTTGAGTTTGGGTGACAAGCTACGCTGCACTTTAACCACTAAGCACTATACTTTTAACTTTAAATCTTATTAAATTTCTTTAAGTATAAAAATAACGGATTCATGATTCCAGTATAAAGCTAGCCAACACTATTTGAGACAACAAATTAAAAAAGCCAAGCGTAAAAAATGTGACCCTATTTTATGAGTCATACATTTCGATTAACAATAGCTGTCTTAGATAAGGACTACAATTAGCATAGGTAGCATAACGTGAAGATGGGCGGATAGCTGAATTATGTCAAATGATGTCAGTAGGCTGTACGATGCAAGTGAATTTCACTCATTCTAGACATTCAGGTTGGATTGCAGTTCCGACGTTGCCTGGTTCTCCTCAGCACCACAAACGGGAGTGAAACCTAGGCAGTGCAGCATTTCTTTTACGCCTGACAATTGGATTCAATCCTGGTCCGAGCGATGAAGCTGAGGCCCAGGCTGGTGTGAACCTGCAGTCCAGTCTGGATGGCAATTCCTTTTGGAAGCCAGGTTTAGCTAGACCCTCCAAACTATACATAGCTTTTGAGATCTATTGCTCTTTACAAATTTTTATTAGCAGAAATCCCATACACACCTTTCCTCCGGCTTAAAAAAAGAATAATAATTATGCATAGTGGTTTTAGTCACAGGATTAAAGAGCAAACCTTTAGTGGAGCCTCTCCAGCATTACAAGTGTCCACAGTAAAGATAGCAATTTGGCCTGCCCGCACTTGTCCATCCTGGAGGCCTGGACCATAACAATTCACCTGACTAGCATCAACAGCTGCCTTAATCGGGACAGGGAATGGACTGCCTGAAAATAATTTTCGACAAAATAAGAATACAAAATATTAAAACCAATTTGCTCTATCAAATTTATAAATTAATGTCTTAACAGCTGGAACCGAACAAATTGTGTATTGTCCCTAGTTGAACCTAAAAAACAGAAAATATATGCGATGAGATGGAAGTAGACTCAACAATCAGAAAATATACACAATAATTCTTTTTACTTCTTTAAGTTTGTTGATTGCGTAGATCATTAAGATGATGCTATACCATTAACAATGCATGAAAGAATATAGTTATCAATATGAAAGAGGGGCAGACGCATCGCAGGATTATTTCGCTACTATGCCCTCGAGTATTTACTTGATGCCGATTCCATAGTAATCCAGAAAGAATGCTGATGGTATATTCGTATAAGAGTAGGGTTTCGAGACTACCAGTAAATCAGTGTAATAAGATGTATTCACCCTATTTGGTCTAAGGTGATGAAAAACTGGTAGTAGAATTTTCCCACAATGATATGATTTGAGCCGATGT